GAAATAATCATGGAAAGAATTTTCATGCGTGATAATTGAAAGTACATACATTAATCTTAACGAATGTAACTGTTTCTCTTTCTAGTGGAAATAAAACCGTGTCTTATTAAATAGAGGCATGGAATAAAAAAAAGATTTAGTGACAGTTCACTACCCATGTTGAAGGCATGGTTTTGTTGATGCATGGTAGATTGCTCTCCAGTCTGCTAGGGGCTGGGAGGGCTGCAGCAGTAGCTCATCCATCCCTAGGATGAGACTGTTGTGCGGGACAACTAGTGTCTTGGGTCTGTCTGAAGAGGAATCCGTTTAACTTAAGAGTAGATTTGACTAGCTCTGAAGAGAATCCTTTCTGGTTTGCTGGGAGGCTTGTAAACGTATGATTTGGGACCCAACGTTAGGGTAATCTGGACGTTCTGGACTATTAATTTTGTCATTCATGAAAATAGATTTTCTGAATATAGCTCATAGTTCACTTATGGACAGATTTTCAAAAATGTTCAGTACTCAGCAGATTGTGTTGAGAACAAAGGGACCTGAACACTCATTTAGGTGCCTAAATAGGAGTTGTAAGGTGCTGATCTCAAGAATTTTTGTCTTTAATATAGTGAAAAGGGCTTAATGCACTTTGAGATTTGTTTTGTGAACTTAAAAACACATTATGTGATCTAATAGTTTTCTGCCTGAAACTAATTGCTACTTCTATTTGAAATTATCTTAATATATGATACTTTGTAATTAAGCTTCTAGAAACACTAAGCAAACACTTTTTTTTAATAGCTTTTTCTTAAGTGCCAATTAGTGGAACGAGTACTTGAAGCATGGGAAATGAATGAGAAGAAACAGTGAGTAACAAAGCCTTTACTACTTTCCCAGAAATTGAAGTGCTACATTAGATTTGATGTAACTGATCAGTGCGTGATCAGTTTAGAATTGAGTCTACTACAGTAAAAGCTTTGTTATCCAGCATGTTGGGGGAATGGGGAGGGGGTGTCGGTAAGTCAAAAATTCCAGTTAATTAAGAGGGAGAGTGTTTGGGTGCAGGAGGGGGCTCAGAGCTGGAGGTTCGGGGGCAGGAGGGGGTGTGGGCTGCTGGATCCAGGCGGTGCTCACCTCTGGTGGCTCCCCACAAGCGGTGACATCCCTTCTGCTCCTAGGCAGAGGCGTGCCTCTCCCCTCAGGCGCTGCCCCCGCAGCTCCAATTGGCCGCATTTCCCGACCAATGGGAGCAGCGGAGCCAGTGCTCAGGGTGGGGTGGAGGCAGTGCACAGAGCTGCCTAGCCTCTGTCTAGGAGCGACAGGGACATGGGCGGCTCCCTGCAAGCGGCAACAAAGTGAGCACCGCCCTCCGACTCCCGAACCCCCTGCCCTGAGCCCTCTCCCGCACCCAAACTCCGTCCCACAGCCCGAGCCGCGCAACTTCTCCCACACTCCGACCCCCTCGTGGCTGTTCCTCCACCTAGGAACAGCAGGGACATGTCGCCCCTTCCAGGGAGCCACGTGGAGTCAGGTAGGGAGCTTGCTGGCCTCGTGCCAGCCCGACTATAAATCAGACTTTCAATGAAGATCAGAAATGCTGGTTTATAGAGCTTTCCAGTTGGTAAAGTGCTGGATAACACAGCTTTTACTCTAATGTGTTCTTCCCCACCTCACCTTAAAACAAATTTTACAAGAGGCATAAACAAACATGGAATATGTTGAACATGCTTTTCTCCTTTTGTCAGTAGGTGTGAGGTGTAATTATCTTTTGTACATGAATAAAAAAGAATACAAGTTAAGCTGGTAAAATAACTTGGGCAAGGAAGCACACTGACACTTGGACTAGAGCTTCTGTTGGCCTTTAAGTTTCTGATTTCAATTCCTTACACTTTTCTTCCCCTGGCAATGTTGATCTTTCCCAGACTGAACCTGTTGGTCCAATAAGTATAGGGTTTGGAAATTCCTAACGGATCCTGATGTGAGCCCTTGGTCCAACTCTGGTCCATCAGACCCTCCTGTACATCAGGAAGAGGTACTGAGAAGTGCCATTCCTGGCACTATGACCTCCAGGTCTGGGGTTCACAGGAGTAGAGCAAAGGCTCTCATCCAAAAAGAGGGCCTCTTCTCCAACCACTTTCAAGTTGAGTGAGAGGCCATGCCCTGGTACAGGAGTGTTAGGATCTCACAAGGAGAATGCTACCATTCTCCCAGCTCTGATGGGCAAAAGCACTCTGAAACCAGCACTATGTGTAGGGGTGGGGCAATCCCTGGTACGGGCAAGAGAAAAACAAAAGTGGGTACCTCCTACACACAATTGTAATGAGTCATTGGTACCAAAGACTGCAATGAGACTGATGCTGGCGGCGCCATGAAAAGAAGGGAGCCCATCCCATTCCCTTGAGTCTAGGGCTAGGTATGCTGCCCAGAGGACATGGCCATCTTCACTAACCTGGAATCCTGTCAGAACAGATCCTGAACAGGGACATCTCCGCACCATTGGTCCAGGGCATGCAGGAAAGGGAGTGTCGCTCACTGATACCATCTACCAGATGGTGTATAAGGATCCAAGGATCAACGGCACCGCCCATGGATTTTGAATCTGCTACCTCATCTGATGAGTGTTAGGGGGCGAGTGCCATCATTGAGACAAGGGGTCAGTCCAGACAGAGGATCCAGAGTCTCTTGGGCATAGTCTGTATCTCATAAGAGAGATTGTGCACCTCAGAACTAATGGTACGCTACTCCATGGAGACCACCCCAGTTCCCTTTTGTCTCCTCACGTTAGCCTTACTGGGGTCCATGGGATCCATACATGCGACATCCTGAATTCTTACAGTACCACAGGGAATCCAGACAGCCCTCCCTTTGCAGAGAAGATCCTGAACCACAAAAACTAATGGAGGGAAGAGGAGGAACCACCAGCTCAAATGGGGTTGGAATCTTCAAGCACAGGCGAGGTGGTTGCACCAACCTCCTCATTACCATGTGATGACTACAGACAATTTAAAGACCAACTGAGGAGGACAACTGACAGACTTTTCCACATGTTCCACTTTTACCTCAGGTTCTGAGGAATGTGAAGCAACAGGTAGTATCAATGATTCTGACTTGCTCCCAGATGGCCCAGGCAATTCTGGTTTCCCAGCATTCACCGGATATCAGCATGCCCATGCATCCATATTCAGCTCGTCCCAGACCTGTTGACGAAGGACAGAGGCAAGATCAGACATCCCACTCCAGCATCCCTCCACCTGATAGCCTGGTATTTGGATGGGCAACAAACCTAGAAAAGGCATGTTCAGAAGCATTACAATCTGGCCTTAGCAACAGTAGGAAGGATTCCATACAAGTGCTACAGAGAAAAGTGGAAAGGAGTTTTCGGCTTGGCACCAACATTGTCTAATAACCCCGAAAGATGACAACATCCCTGTCATTTTGAACTACCTTTTCTCCTGAAAGACTTTGGAAGTAGCTCTTAGCTCTATGTGGATGCACTTAGCACTTATCAAGACCTGTCACCCTCTGGAGAACAACCAGAGGGGTGAAGAATGTTTTTTAAAAGATAGTGTTGGTGTTAGAACCTCTGATAACAAAACTTACCTTGACTGGAACCTCAGTCTAGTCCTGTCAGCATTAACAAAGACTGTGTGAACCCTTGGCATCATGTTCATCTGTCGATGAAGGTTGCCTTTCTGGCTGATATCACCTCAGCCAGAGGAGTAGGTAAGCTGGGGGCCCTCCTGGCTGATCTGCCTTACACTTTTTCTTCCACAGACAAAATTTTGCTAAGACTACTTTGGAAGTGAATTTTTGATGTAATCTCTGAGTTCCATCTAAATCAGAATATTCTCTTAATCTGTTTTCTTTCCAAAGCTTCATGGCACCAGTGAAGGATAGGAGACTTCACTCTGGACATCTGTTGGACCTTGGCTTTCTACCTACAAAGGACAAAGTGCTATTTAAATCCTTTGTGGAATGTAAGGGAGGGGAAGTTATCTCCTCTGACCCTTTCCAAATGGATTTTGGGCTCCATCCTGCTTTGAGTTAACGATGCCCCTTCTCCACCATTGTGTGCGGACTCACTCAACTAAAGTTGAGGCTGCATTAGTAGGTTCACTTCAAGACATCCCTCTCCTCAAAATCTGTAAAGCGACAATGTGGGGCTCTGTTCGTACCTTTACAAGACATTACAGCCTGGTGCAAGCTCCTTCATCTGATGCTTTCTTCAGCAGAGCAGTCCTCTGATCGGTGGTGCAGCAGATGTCTTTGCACCCCCCTTCTTAATCAATACTGCTTGTTAGTCATCCACAGGAATTACACATATAGACCATTACTTGAAGGAATGTTACCTATCTTGTATAGTAATTGGAGTTGTTCAAGATGTGTGGTTCTTATCTCTGTTCTGCAACTGCCCTCCCCCTTTGAAGTCTTAGGGCTATTTGTGGTAGAAGTTGTTGGTCTGCACCACTCCTTATGCCCTCAGTTCACCACATGAGGAGGAAAAGGGCACAGGCACAGACCAATGGACACAGCTGGCAAGAATCTTCTGGTATTTGGCTCATGGAGCGCATGCATACCAGCAGTGGAATACCAATAAAGACCCATATTTTGAAGAACTCAGTTACTGTATAAGCTAAGTAACTTTTCATTCTGCAAAGATCTTGGTGTGCTTTGTTTGACAGTGTTGTTGACACTGAACTCTCATGAGGAAGTAGTATGGAAAATGACTCCCTACAGATCTACTAACCTCAAGCTCCCATTAAAAGATGTGCAGACTTTCTCAAAGATGAACCAGTATTTAGCACACAGGCCAGTTCTCTGACTTTTTCTTGTAAAGCAGCTTCATAGCTGTGGCTGGTAACCTACTACAGTAAAGAACGGAGAATGTATTGTGAACACATGGAAGTGACTCGTGTAAGAAATATGCAGACCCATCTTTAACTCTTATTGCACGCTGTAGTAAATGTAACGAAAGAAATCCCAGTTTTTGTTCTTCAGTAAGTTTTCCCCCCCCCCCCCTAAAGATTATTAAAATTGGGAGCCTAATGTGAGACTTACATCCTGTGACAGGACACCAATTAATTAATATTACACACTATTTATATAGCACCAAAAATTATGCCTGACACTTCAGACAAGGACCTTCAAGCGCTTACAATCTAAACTTCACGAGAGTTGTTTTGGGGGAGGGGATGCACTATAAAGCAAAATTACTGAGGAGCTGTTCTTGGCTTGGTTCTTTAACTTCTACAATCTTTTTGTCTTTATAATAGAACATAGTCTCTCATTTTTTGATGTTGAATCCATATTCTTCCTCCTTTCTTTGTTTTTATTCCTGGCCAAATGCTCTGGTCTTGTGGAGTCTGCTTCTCTTTTTGATATAGATAGAAATGAGAGACCAGCTATTAGTTAGGTTTTCATACTATGCCCATTTCCGTGATATCCAAATACTTCCAAACCCACAATAGGAAGTAGTACCTCCAACCGCCAAAATAGACCATGATTTAAATGGGGAGAGAAACTGCCGGTCATTTCTCTGCCTCATATATGGACAGTTATAAGGATAACAAGTCATCTGTTATGCTAATTTATACATGTTTTAGGCTGATAGGTGTACTGTAGGAATGAGGGAGAGGGAGGAAATGGTAATTAAATAAACAAAAGCAGTCACTCACTTCAGGCCTTCAGTCTCCTTAATTCATTACCAAAAAATAAATAAATTAAATAAAAAAAATCCTAAACCCTGAGCAATCACTCCTGTAGGATTTATAGAGCACCAGATAGAAAGGGAGAGGTAAAACAATGAGCCGAATAATGTTTACGCCTGAGGGCATTCTGTGCCAAAATATTAAAAATTCTGCACCAAAAAAATTAAAATTCTGTACACTATTTTAAAATGCTGCAAAATTCTTTAAATGTTATTTGTCAGATAAATGTGGAGGCTCCAGCATGGCACTGGGGAGCACAGGCCACTGGCTGCACAGAAGTGAGAGATTACTGTGCAGCTCCCTCCACCCCCATCCCAGACAGACTCAGCAGTGAGGCTGCACCCAATCCTAACACAGTGCAAGGAGGGGGCCTGCCCCAGAAACACCCCAGAGCCCCGCCCCTCTGTGCTCAGTCGGGTATCTGGGTGTGGAGGGGATCTGGATGCAGAGGGGCTTGTTGAGGGGGGTTCTTGGTGCAGTAGTAATGGGACTCTGCAGGGGGTCCAGGTAAAGGTGGTTGAGGCTCAACGGGCTCTGGGTGTGGGAGGCTCAGTGGGGTGGGGGGGGGGTCCAGATGCTGAGGGAGTGGGGCTCAGTGGGGTGGGTATTGAGGTGCAACTGGTTGGGGCTTGGTAGGGTGGAGATCTGAGTGTGGGTGGCTCGGGGCTCATCGGGAGGGTTCTGAGTGCAGGGGATGGGGGGGTTAGGTTCGGCAGGAGGGTCTGGGTACGAAGGCGTCTGGATGCACAGGGCTTGGGCAGATGAGGGAGCAGCTCCTTGTACAGAGATCCTTCCCCCTGCAGCTGAGGAGCGATGGGTGCAGGAAGCAGAGGGAGAGGGTGCGCGAGTTTGCAGAGCTTTCTGCAGCTGGGGGAGAAATCTGTGGGTGGGTCTGACCTAGCCGCGAATGCTGTCCAGGGGAAGAGGAAGTCCCGTCCTCCCTAGTCCAGCCCGGACTAGCAGTTGAGCCTGCACACCTTAGGAGCCACCAGCTGGGTCTTCCTTAGGTCCACCTCCTGCTTCCTTAGGTCCTACCTCTCTGCTGGCACCCAAAACATACTGCTAGGAAGGGTTGCTTGACCGCTCCTGTGGCTTCCCTTTGCTTCCCCATCAGAGAGTAATTTTTCTGCAGGGAAGCAAAGAAATTTGCAGGGGACATAAATTCTTTGCATGTGCAGTATTCCCCCAGGAGTAAATGTTGTGCAGATTAATTCTGTAAGAACACCACACTTGGCTGCAAGTGTGCGCACAGTGTATGTCAGTGCTTAAGCTTGCCATGCTTAAATATTTTCTCCGCTTTCACAATGCTCAAGGAGGTTCTGCTTGATGGCTGTGTTTCTCCATTGATGGGCTTGTCGTGCTTCTCTAAATACAGTAACTGACAACACTCCATGTGGATCTCGGTGCTTTAATCAATTAACTTTAAAAGCAAGACCAAATGAGTTTTAAATTGGATTGAATTGTAGCTAAAAGACTCATGAGAACATCTTGTCTTGGTTCTTATTGTGGGTTGGGGTGGTGAAATATTCACTATAATCAGGTTTGATTCACATCAAGAAAGGGCATCAGTTAAGAGACTTTGATAAAAGTGTAACTCTTAATAAGGTGTCTAATATTAAAATGAGGTTGAGACCCACTTTGGGGTCGCAACCCACAGTTTGAGAACCCCTGCATTAAGCTATATTGAATTAAGGCCACTTCAGTTCCGAATGTCTCCACATAGGGGTTTAATGCAGTCTTTCAAACAGGGCTATGTTAATGTGAATTACGCATCTTTTAGTTTGTGCCAGCAGCATCCATGTGGGGCAGTTAGAGCATAACATTTTGGTGTACTCTGCTTTTCATACTTCCAGAGTGTGCATTGTGGCACAGTGTAGACAAGTCTTTAATTCATTAAACAAAACCTAATTAAGGTCACTTTAATTCTGCATCAGTTTCCACACAGGTTTAATGCATTTTAACTAATCCACTTTAACACCTTTAGTTAATTTGGATTAATTTTCCTTAGTGTCCCTATGTAGACAAGCTCTTTTTGCAAGATATGGCTTGTAAGTTTTCTTTCTCCTGAGCTGCCCATCTAGTTGCTTTTATAACTGAGAAGCTCATTTGAATAGCAGACTGGATGCCTGCCTGCCCAATCGGGCAAGTGGTTCCTTAACCCAATCTCGCTTTTCCTCAAATGCAGCCAATATGTCCAGACTGAGGACAGATATCCCTGTCCTGCAACCAGCTGCTGGTATTTGGCAGTGCAGCTCAGATCTAGATGTTTTGTCTAACTTTCAGTTTCTCAAGGCTAGGCCAGCTCCGGCTAGTCTTAACTGTTATCCTTCAGCCCTGCAAGGTGTCATACTGGGAGCTGCTATTTCCACTTCCTTGTCAGGCACGTTAGCTTTGGCAGCGGAACACTTTGGACAAAGACCTAGGAATTTCTAGTAATGTCCTGAATGCCAGTCTCAAACTACAGTCCCAACTAATCTAGTACGTAGAAGTTTGTTAGCCCTTGTGTTAGGCTAGCCCTGAGACAGAGTTTACAAAATCTGGGAATATTTTATTGTAGCCTGAATTAGTGAATTGTCTTAGCACTTTTAGAGACTCAAAACTCCCTTTCTGGAATATTTTGAAGTATTAAGTATTAGTTTGCAGGAAAGGTGTCTGAACATCCTATGTGAGGTAGGTTCTCCAAACCTGTTGGCAAATTGGATTTAATATTAAATGGATTTTCGCTCTTGTTCTGACCATACGAACTTCCCTCAAAACTATGTAGAAGCAGGAGAATAACTTGATGACTAAACATGCTTCTCTTTCTTTATGGATAGCGTTATGCATTTTAGAAACAGTTCAGAGAGGGAGCCCAAAAAACATGTTTTAGCAGCCCAAAAACGTTTTGGTTTGAAGTATACATTACTCATTCTCCTTATGAGTATTTAAAGTACTTTGTTTTCTCGCTTGACTTGTCTAACTTTTTGTGTTGCTTCCTTGGATTTATAGGCTTAGCATTCCATAACTACAAAATACTTCAACAGACAGCTATTTGGGAAGATGAACATTTGAACTTCTCTTTTTCAGGGCTGAAGGAGGAAGGCGGCATGGTTATATGGGTCATTTAACAAGGATAGCTAACTGTATTGTGCACAGTACTGATAAGGGGCCAAACAGCGCACTAGTACAACAGCTTATTAAAGGTAACATTAAACTTCTGCAGGTTTGTTTCACCATTCTGTTAGTTGGATTTGTACAATTAAATCATGCTAGGTATTTAAAAGGCAGCTTTTAATAGGGGCTTTGCTTCTTTCCCTTGGACAAACAGCTTTTGGAAAGAAGCGGCTTACTGTTTGTGCAAGTTCAGGTAACCTATTAAATTAGGATACCCTTAAATATATGACTTGCTCTCCCCAAACTTAGGGAAACAGTGCTCTGGCTTCTTAAAATAAATGTGAGTGGGGGTTGCCTGCTAAATTCCCTGTGAGCTGCGTGGCCACGCAGCAGCCTATTAAGCACTGCGCAGGGGCTTAGGAAACCCAGCCCCGGCGAACCTGCTGCAGCCAGGGGACAGGTGCTCCTCCCCCAACCTGAACCCAGCTCTGGCCTGGACCTGCCGTGGCGGGGGGACAGGTGCTCCTCTCCCGGCCCCCACCTAGCCTGACCCCTCCCCCCCAACTGCCATGGCCAGAGGATAGGTGCCAATCTCCTGGCCCCAGCCCACCCCTCGACCTGCCGTGGCTGGGGGAGAGGGACCTATCCCATGGCCCCAGTCCTGGAGCTGCTGCAGCAGGGAGAGGTGCCTCTCCCTTCCCAGCCCAGATGCTGCTGTGGAGAGAGAGAGAGAGAGAGAGCTGGGAGGAATCCTCACTCCCTGCCATAGCCCTGGGGCACCCTGCACCCCAAACGCCTCATCCCCGGCCCCACCCCAGAGCCCTCACACACCCCTCCAGCCCTGAGCCCCTCATCTCCACCCCACCCCAGAGCCCACACCCCCAGCTGGAGCTCTCACACCCCTGCACCTCAACCCACTGTCCCAGCCCTGAGTCCCCTCCCACACTCCAAACCCCTTGGCCCCACCTCTACCACATTAATTTTGTTATGTGCACCAATGTGAAGGTGATACGTTACATATCTCCTCCATACTGGTGCACATAACAAAATTCATTCTGCACATGTGGGGAAAAATTAGAGCGAACACTGGTGGCCTGCCCTAATGAAAACTACACTGAATCAAGTATCTTCTTCTGGAGAATGGCTTATTTACACAGGTACTTCTAGAATAATTACTCTCCAGCATAGGCCTTCTCAGTCTCAGCTATCCCTTGTGTTCTTTCATGCAGTGTTAATCTTTCCCAAGTCCTCACGTGCTCGAGGTTATTCCCACATTCCTTATACTCCTGTACAGTTACAGGCTTACTGCACCGGTGAGCCATTGAGATTGTCATCTAATAGACTGGAAATGTCTGCCTGAAAACCACACCTTGTTAGAATAAACAATACCTGAGGAAATTTTCAATTGTATGTATAGCAGAACATGTTCTGCAGTGATTTTTTGCAAGTTTAATTTTGGGAGCTGAGAAGAGAGTGAAAACTAACTGCCTTGAGTGATATTGCTACTAAAACTTTTTTCCTCCATTTTACTCTAGAGCTTCCAGATGATGTCAGGGAGCGATGGGAGACCTTCTGTACAAACTCCTTAGGAGAAACTAACAAAAGGAACACAGTGGATCTAGTAGGTTTTGTAAGATGAAGTTTGAAAAGTTACTGCAATTATAAGGGCATCCTTTTCCCTTCCCATGTGTCAGGGATACAGTTGCACTGCAGCCTTTTCAGCCATCATGCTTCTCAGACAGAATGTCTGCAAACCTCTCCAGTAGCTGCACTGTGGAATTGGCACCTCCCTGTTTCCTTTGCAAATATGGCTGCCTTATTGACAATTTAATATGGTTTTGCAAGGGTGTTTGGAGTTTGGCTCATATTGTATTGCACCTCACTCTTAAAGCACCACCCAACAGGAAGATGTCACTTTGGGGTCTTTGCAAGTCCAAAACTGCTTGAAGAATTGAGACTAAAATTGCTGAAGCTGGGGGTTTTCATATGCAGTATGTAAGCAAGCCTACATACAGTTAAAGTGAAACTGCTTCCTGCATCATTGAACGATGCACACAAATACCTACCTCACTTCTAATGAAGAAATATAATTTTGCCTTGATTACAGTCCTGTTATGACTATTCTGTTCTGCACTGAATGATTCAGAGATTACATTGGCCTTTTAAAGGCTAAACACATCTAATTGTGAGGTGCAGAAATAGTCTTAAACAGAGGCAGCATTTTCTGTTTGTTATATTTAAAGTCAGCGTCAAGTGTATCAGCAGTCAGGTCCCTCAATTCAAAATAGGACACACGTGTTTTTTTTTTTTTAACTGAGGTGGTTGCCTACTTAGGCCTCATTATAATTGTGTTTTTGTTTTTTTTAAATTTCTCCAAGAATCACTGGTTTATTTGTGGGTTCACTAAGTGGCAATTATACATCACTAATTTGGACCAAAAAATGAATAAAGATTGTTAAATCTCTTCTTAATTTATTAAAATTTTCACGTGAGAGTACAACAATGCAAGATTCGCAGCAGAAGGCCATGTGTGATATAAAAATAATTTAGAACCCTAGAGTTGCCTAACAAAGGCATAAAAACAATGAATTCATGGGGTTTTCTGATATCTGTAATGGATACTAGTCAGAACTGCATTGGATATTTATTCAAGAAAACAATGCATCCTACTGGGGAAGAAACATGATTTTTTTTGGATCTATAGCCTTATTGGAAATGGCCCACAGGTCTGCAGTGTGATTCTGATCCAACTTACCTTGATAGCCTCCTGACATTTAGAAATGTTGCATGGTTTAGGTAAATGTGTGGAACCATTAAATTTCTTTGTTTGAGAAAAGCTTTTTCTTGATCCTGGGGTAAAACAATCTGCCATGATTAATAATAACCTAATCTGAGAAACATTAATCCAAAATATAGATTACTAGTGTTGTGCGGTCAGAGCCTCCAGCAGGTTTTCTTACAAGTTTTCTCTAGGTCAGTCTAAATTTTTAAGCCAGGTAGAATATTGGATTATTAACTTTCTTTGATATAGATATGCCCCATTCCTTTTAAAACTGTATCCAACAGAATTCCAGTCAAAGTGGGGCCAGCAAAGTTTAATGCTGAACCGTCTCACATTCAGTTTAAGTTTCTTGAATTAACTGCAAGACTCCTAGCTCTTCTGTAGTAGATCCCCTTGATTCTGACAACTGCAAGTCTCTCACAAATGGGGGTCTGATCTCTCCAGGTACACTAACTGGTCTGACATAAGCTCTAATTAAAATAGCACTTTTAAGCAAGTTTGCTGATGGAAGTTCATTGAAATAACTAATCATCGTAAAGATCTCCAATTTTTCATGATTATGGTATCCCTTCCATCAAAAATAAAAAGCCTTTCTTACATTATTACTTTGGGGCCTTTAACACAATTCTTATTTTGAAAATCTTAACTAGTTAAGGAAAGTGAACCCAGCCTCTCTCGTCTTATACACCATAAGTCGGAAATTGGCTACAGTGAGTAACTTAGTGTTTCTGCAGTTGTAGTGATTCACTCATGTCTTATTTAGGCTGGTTTATTTAATTTGACTTTTTAAAAATAATTTAAGAATCATAGTATCATAGAATCCTAGAAGATTAGGGTTGGAATAGACATCAGGAAGTCATCTAGTCCAACCCCCTGTTGCTCAAAGCAGGACGAACCCCCAACTAAATCATCCCAGCCAGGGCTTTGTCAAACCAGGCCTTAAAAACCTCTAAGGAAATTCCACTACCTCCCTACGTAACCTATTCCAGTGCTTCACCACCCTCCTAGTGAAATAGTTTTGCCTAATAGCCAACCTAGACTTTCCCCTGCAACTTGAAACCATTGCTCCTTGTTCTGTCATCTGCCACCACTGAGAACAGCCTTAGTTCATCCTGTTTGGAACCCCCCCCTTCAGGTAGTTGAAGGCTGCTTTCAAATCCCCCCTCACTTTTTTCTTCTGCAGACTAAATAAGCCCAGGTCCCTCAGCCTCTCCTCGTAAGTCATGTGCCGCAGCCCCCTAATCATTTTCATTGTGCTCTGCTAGACTCTCCAATATATCCACATCTTTTTTGTAGTGGGGGGCCGAAAACTGGACGCAGTACTCCAGATGTGGCCTCACCAGTGCCAAATAGAGGGGAATAATCACTTCCCTCAATCTGCTGGCAATGCTCCTACTAACGTAGCCCAATATGCCATTAGCCTTTTTGGCAACAAGGGCACACTGTTGACTCACATCCAGCTTCTCATCCACTGTAATCCCCAGGTCCTTTTCTGCAGAACTGCCTCTTAGCCAGTTGGTCCCCAGCTTGTAGCAGTGCATGGGATTCTTCCTTCCTAAGTGCTGGATCTGCACTTGTCCTTGTTGAACATCATCAAATTTCTTTTGGCCCAATCCTCCAATTTGTCTAAGTCACTCTGGACCCTATCCCTACTCTCCAGCATATATACCTCTCCCCCCAGTGTAGTGGATAAGGTCTATATTTTTAAGCTTTTCTAACTTTTTAATCAATTTCAGTTTTCACAGTTGTGCAAAATGGTGGGTTTTAAGCATTCTTTTCCAATTCTCTCTTTAAATTTTCACAGTTTTGGTAAATTATGGAAGGGTTGGACAAGGGGGGGATCAGACAATTAAATGAAAAATACTGAGCTTCAAAAAGATGAAACTTCGTAACCGTTAGAACACAAATTATCACCATCATATGTCTAAATATAGAACATAAATGTCCTTAAATTCAGCTCCAAATTCTCAGCAGCATTTTTCTTAATTTGCCTATCTGTAAATTTTGTTTATTAATAGAAATATTTTTTCATTGGTTTGTGTGTAATGAAATTGCAGTTTACTGACATTTACTGATTTTAAAAAAGAAATCTAATCCTTCCAAGCCTAGTCTTATGATGATAGTAATTGTTAGTAGGCCATACTGACTTTTTTTAGCTCAATAAATTGGTTAATATACTAGATTTCTATGGAGAAAAGGTAGGCATTTAAAGATTAATTTGTGTATTCTAATGGTAAATTGCTCCATTCATGAGACATGAAAAATCTCAAGAAGAAAGACATTAGAACTGGTAGTGAATACACAATGGGTACTTGTAAACAACATTAGTAGCTTCTAATTTTTCTTCTCAAACTGTAAAAACTGTTTTGCTATTGTCTTTGATAACTACTAGAGAAAGAGTTCAGATACTGGTCTTTTAATCTAGTACTTCATTTAACACAGACAGTAGCTTGATAAGAACTTGATAAGAATCCTGAAGTGTTTTTCTTGCAGATATGCCTAAATTACCGCTCATTCAGTTAGCTGGAATTTTGACTTAAATCCTCAAGTGTTTACTTTGGTTTGATTTTATTTCTGTGTTTTAGTTACCTGTTATTTACAGATTTACTAGTTAGAATTTAAGAAACCTGAAGTTGAACAAAAGTGATTGGGATTGTCTTTAATCCTGAACAGATGGTTTTGGTAGACTAGAAAGCAAGATCAGATGACATGATTTACTCAGTTCCATATTATAATGCCTAATTGAGGCCTAAAAGAATTTTTCAACTGAAAAATATGCTATATGCACAATCCACACTATAATTTATAAGTAATTTGCAGTTTACTGTTGAATTGTTCCAAAGATTCATTTGGTTACTTAAGTTGTTTAAAACAAGTAGTATTCCATTCCCCTGTGGGGCCGTGAATTCAAAAACATTGCACAGAAAAATCTTGCTGTTTTATTTCTACACTTCTATAATTCTTTCTTTGATCTCAGATTATGGGTAGTTTTTAGGGGGTGAAACTGATTTGTTATGCGTGAATTGAATGTTAAAGGTACTCTTTTTTAGGCTGTCATATTTATTTTAGAAAGTGGATAATTTGTAATTTGAAAGTTTGAATGGAGGTGCTGGACCCCTTTGGAAGTTCAACCTGTGGTCTGTTGGCTCCTACTGTAAAAATCATAGACTGAAAACTGATTGAACAAAATGCAATTATAAACATTGCATGTTCTCAGCACAGCATTTGACACCGAGTGAGAGAGAGGACACTAAACTGTGGGCTTCTCCAGTAATGACAACACTTCTGGGGTTTGACCTGTAGGTGGGGGTATTCACATACCTTTTATCAGATAAACGGAACACCTTTTCTTGGATTTGAAACTTTATTTTCATAGTCACCTTTCGCGGACCCCTTAGCAGGGCCTTAACCAGAGTGGAATAGCTGCCCAGGGTGCAAAATCATGAAGGTGAACAAATGGGGTGGGAAAATAATGAAAAATGGCAGGGGGCGCAAATGTGCTTGCTCACCTCGGACACTAAAATGCCTAGTTTTGGCTCTCCCCCTTAGACACAGTCTGTGGACCCCCACGGGTCCGCAGACCACAGGTTGAAAACAACTGCGCTATACAGTGTTTTAGTTTTCGTAGAAAGCATTACTAAGCCTGATCTTAGTAAAGTTACCAGGTTCTGAGAATTAATTAGGAGTTGTGGGCACTCAGCACTTCTGAGGATCAAGACCCTGATGTGTAACTGTAAAAATGTGGGGTTTTGGTTTTTTACATCTGTTTTTTCCCCCTTGTTAAATCGTCTCCAGATTTATGGGCACATAACAATTGCTATATTGGACACTGGTGAGGCAAGACGGGCTGACTCCAGCAGTGGCCAGTGCTTCAGTGGAAAGCAAATTCAGCTTCCACCCTCAAAAGCAGTGTTCTTATTCAGCTGTATAGTGCTGTAACTGGGTAAAAAGTGTTTTGATTCACAGTGGATGACTACTACACTTAATTGGTAGAATTGTTAGTAAGCACACCTTCACTGAAGAACTTCCTTATTAACCAGAATAATTTCATATTGTATCTAAATGGTAAGATACAGTTTTATTCCTGTGTTGTCCTGTTTGGCCAGTTTGGACCTATTAAGTAGCATCCACTGAAGGAACTCTAGAGTTAGTTTTGCTAGGTGTTAAAGATGGAATTATTCACCAAAAGTGTCAAACACTAAATGTAATGACTGGTGACATGCAAATATAATGTTAGTGGATGAAATATATGCATTTACAGTTGAAATAGTGTGTTTGCTGGGCTAAAAATCTTCTAGTTCATATTTTTGTGCTGAAATTAATGACCTTGCATAATAATTCTAATTTACACTAAGTCTTTTGTTTAATTAAATAGGTGTCTAAACTTTTTTGTCTAGGTTACTACCTGCCACATTCATTCATCCAGCGATGACGAAATTGACTTTAAAGAAACTGGTTTTTCACAGGATTCTTCTTTGCAGCAAGTGAGTTAAATTCATTTAACAGTGTTGTTCACAGGTGTGCCTTCTTTGTAAAAGTAGCTTTTCTGTGGGATTTTTGTATTTGGGGATGGGTGGTTGCATTTGATGCAAAACACCATTTGGAGAATTCGGTGGTGAAACTGGAAAGTGTATTAAAAAAAAATGTAGGTAGTGTGCAGTTTAAAGTTCTATACATATTTATAGTTTGCTAATTGACAGTGTTACAGGATTTAATATGGTAATGCCACACAAGTGAGTGGTGTTTTTCAGAGCACCAACTAACTGTATAGCGGTCTACTTGAGTTAGCACTTTCATTTAGAAAATAGTTTTTGGAAGCACTTTTAATACTTTGCCATTTTTGATGGGTGAAGGGTGACAGCTATTCCGTACTAGCCTCATTCCATTTGCAATGTACGTCTTCTTTATTCCTCTGTTGGCACTGGAGGAAAGTGAAAGTTGTCAAAATCTGCATACAGTGTACATTGATTTAGATCTCCAATCCTGAAGGTGCTATAGATTCAAGTTACTAAACAAGTTATTTAAATCGCTGCTTGTACCATTAGCTGTTTGTAACTGCCTCAACCCAAGTACTACAATCTGTAGTTCTTAAAGTTTATATACCTTTATCATTTATATAAAGTGCAGTTGTTCCAAAAGTTTGGTTGAGGTTTTTGTTAATTTTAGAAACTATAGTTAACTTTTTCATGTCTGATATTTCAGTGATTTATTGCATCTTAGTTGCACCAATCTAGATTTGATGGGGTTGGTGTCTTCAGCAAGGTAGCAGCTTCTGTAGGAACGTGGAATCTTTTAGAAAGCCCTTCATAGTCTTCAAGCACCATCTTCTGACTGTATTCTTTAGTGTGAGCTCTGTCTAGACTGTCACAGCAACTGCATGTGTTTAGGTAGTTAATCCAACAGAGAACTGCAGATGGACCACTGCTGTTGCATGCTATATGGGGTAATGGTGGAACACAATATTTTTAGTGTCTTAGCAGAGTTTGTCATGAGGCTTGACAATAGAATAGAGAACTGTACCTTGGTATTGTCTTCTGTAGAAAGCGGAGTATGACGTGAAAGACAGTAGACTGGAGACACCATTGTGAGGAAGAGCAGATCAGTTTTCCAGAATAAGTGGAGGCACTGTAATGTCTAGCGCACTGGTAGTCTTTTCCTTCCACTCTTCTGATCTTCTGGGAACCTATTAACCTTTCTTAGGTGGGTTTGCTTTGTTTGCCAGCTTTACTGAGGCCCAGACTAAAACAGGCAGCCTCCAGCTTTCTTTTCTTCAGCTTCCTTACTAAGTCCCATTCTAATTTTCGATTTCTCTCTAATGAAGAATTCTCAGTCCAGAAGTGTCTTCATTCTGTTGATCTCTGATCAGTGGAATGCCTCAGTCAGTTCAGTCGTCAGAAATAATTTTAAAACTGTCATTTTGAAAGAAACTTTCATTAATTCATTCTCAGGACAGTTTTTTTGAAAGACCTTCCTTATTTTAAATATTAGGGGGAGAGTCTGCTGCCTCATAACTGGAAATTGGTTCTCCCAATTTGCAAAGCATGCGACAGGAAAGATTTCATTTGTAATGCACACACAAGTAATCATAAACATTGAGCTCTTTGGGCAAAATTTAAGACTCCATCTAATCTAGTGCTGGTAAGAGTGGGAGTGATACTGTAGACCAGCTGCTGGCATTTTTACTATTGTGTTGTCTGGACCTGCTGTGAGCAAAGTTAGATGACATAGTGGTAAAAATTCTGACAACCAACCAGTGTACACTAATGCTCCTACAATTGCTAGCACCAGAGGAGCTGTGCTGATGTTTGTGCAGTGTCGAGATCTCCAGAAAGTTGCTGCTGTAGGCAGAGTTAAGGAATAAATGCAAGTCTGCATAACTGAATATGAAAAGTGGTGTTTTCCTTTTAATGGAAATCTCTCCAAATTTATCTTCAAAGACCTACGTAAAATCTCAGGCTGCCCTAGATAACACCTAAAGTAGATTTGATCATGATGACTCAGGCAAAAGAGGTCTTTTGCAAATTTTCTTTACGGGCCCTGGTTAAGAAATTAATGCTTATAATCACTTAGGTGACTTTTTTTTTACTTGCCAACCGTTTTTAACTGTATTTACATAGCCTGTGCAGGCAAAATGTTTTTCTTTGTTGGCTGGAGAAATCCATTCCTTTTTATAAAGTAAATCTTCAGACATGTTTCATAACTTTTCACACCTGACTTCTAACTTAATTTATGATGCCATAAAGATGTTAGACCTGCTCTGCTACCTTTTTTAGCATTTTTAAAGGTAAAATTGACACACACCCCCTCTTGCTTGATGAGCTTTGTTTAGGGAAGTTCATGACAAACCCTAGAGGTGGTACCCCCAAGAAGGGTCTCATGCTGTAAATCTTTCTGCCGATCCCTTTATTTTAAGGGCAACAAGCAGAAGTATGTCAGTGATTGCATTCATTTTCCACCTTGCAAAACTTGCCTTTGGCCTGTCAAAATGTCAGCAGGTTCTGACTCTTGGCTGACTATTGCTTGGAACGCTTCTCTAGTGCGCTCTTTCCCACTATTAGGCTTTAAAAGATACTGTCACTAGGATGACGTATATATTTGATAAAACAGAAGTTGCTGCCTGCACTTATTTCACTTGAAAACTGGTAGAATTTTAAAAATCGAATTGACTTTTCACCATTAATTTAGTTCTTTCATCATTCCATTTATCATTAACATAACACCTTTATGAATGTCGTCTCATCCACATGCATTCAGTAATAAGTTCTCTTCATCCATAGCTATCAAAGTACTTTACAGAGGAAGTGTTTAGTGCCTTTCTACAACCCAATAATGCTTGATATGGACAGTCAGCGCAGGAAGAACAAAGGTCTAATATTACTAGGCCAGCCATATGTTTTGCCCAACGTAGTGCTGTTTACTGTAAAAGACTTGAGGGATTGATTGGCACTTGTGAATGTTTCAGTCAAAATTCTACCTGAAACACATGCAAAAAGGCAGGCTTCTCCAGTGGCTGCTTGGATGGAGGTTCCCCTTATTCACTCCCAATCCCAGGAGTGTGGAAAGCTGCCATTGTATCCCTCTCCTTCCTCATCACTGCCCTGTTTTAGCTTCCTCCAAGCTCCTCCCTAATTTCCTCTCCCCAACCCAACCCTGTATTTTTTTTCCCTCTGCCATCACCTATTCCTCTATACCTTACCTTCTCAGCACCTTGCTCACCTGCTCCTTTTTAGGCCATCTCTGGCTTCCCATATTTCCATGTCCTGTCTAGCTGACTAACCACACAGTCCAGAGAGCGGCTATTTTCCCTGAGGGTAACCTGGGTTCAGTTTCATTAAAAACAATGAGTTTGCAGTCTCCCTTCAACATGCAAAGTCTGTAGAGAATGGTGACTGTTTTGGCAGAGAGCAGTTTGGCTTCAGCCCCACTGAAAATAATAGTTATTTTAAATAAGGGAAATTTCACAAGTTTTAAAGCCAGTAATCTGAGGTCAGTTGAGACTTTATTTAAAAACAAAAAGAACCTTAAACCCCCCAAATCTCATGAGATTTTTGATAAAATTGTGAGAGTTGGCAACATTAAATTTAGATGTGTGGTATGTCTGCATTAACTCTTTTGGTTTCCACTTGTGTTTTCTTTTGGGTAATCGAGAGATACTGTTAGATCTTGTAGTTGAGATTGATAACTTCTTACCCACACATTTTTTTCCTATTTATAACAATGCCCTGCTCTCCCCTCTTCCATGAGTCATGTGGTTTTAAAAGTTTCATGTTGACAAGGTTGAAGGCAGCTTTTCTCCTGTACCTAATAAGCTGTCCTGTCATACAGTGTGTCCTGGGAAATGCATTTGGAAAAGTGGTATTTAAGACCACATGTACAGTGAAGATTAACTTTCCTATTAGAGCTGCTACCAAGCTGGCATCAAAGCCATCAAATGTGGGTCAGTGTATATTCAGTGGCTGAGATAATTTATAGATTTAAAACAAATTAACTTTTTATAATCCCCTGTGTTTAGATTAACAAAATTTATTTCTGGAGCAAAATGGGCAAATAGTATTCAGAGTATTATTAGAATCTTTATATCACTGTCGTTGGTCCTGGGATTGCCAGGCCTTTTCTGATTATCAGATGCAACAAATGACGTCCAATTTTATTGACCAGTTTGGCTTCAACGATGAGAAGTTTG